TGCGGCGTCGCAGGACTCAGGACTCCTGAGTCAGGAGAGGTCTTCCTGGTACCTAGCATTTTGTATATAGACGATCAGACCTGGCCTGAGGAGAGACGCAGGGAGACAGAAAGAAATCCATGACCTATTCACGATCCTGCCGAATCAGCAACTCCGTATAATCATCCTAGTCTTCTGTTAAAAGTCGCAATTACCTGACTGAATGAAGGAACACAACACGACTACCGAATACGAGGTATATAACCAGGTAATTAATACATTGCAAATAGCGCTTGAGCAAGATCATGAATTAGTCCTTTTTGTTTTTCTGTACCTAGTCTCGGGCCGTGCCTGTTCGTTTAGATACAAGTTGCTATAATCACAGAAAACCTCTCCTGAGTCCTGCCACACAGAGATCTTCAAGGGCATTGTCCTGGCGCCGTTCGATCAACGTTCCTGTAACGGCCATCGCTAGCGATCAACAGGAGTATTATCAGCAAATTAATAGATAGCAGAAATATTTTGGCCGAAAGCCTCAGAGGGAGGACAGCGACCGTCATCATGCGGCCATGGCGACTTCGTCAGTCATACGTAAGGGGCTAAAGATGGTCTGTGACATGAGGCGGACTGCGTTCTAGCAACGAGGCCACGCCCTCCTTGCTAGACAGCATGGACTTTTTCTCAAAATGCTACCGTTCTTTATGTCGTGCCAATTCCGTACCTAATTTTTTGATATTATCGTGACCTATATTCCTAATTCACGGTCCGGACATGCGAGGGGCTCCCATATCGCTTTATCTCCTGGAAAAGATCCTAGGCAACGAAGATATCCGACGCAGAGCTCCCTCGCCTTCACATTGCAAGAGACGCTTTCGAAACGCCAAAGACCGATATGCCCTCGATTTAGTAGGTCTCGAGGAGAACGAAATTATCTTAATTGAAAGCAACGGTCGTCGACAATGGGCTAAGAACGGTGCGGCTCAGTCATAACAAGCTCTCTCGACCGGCGTGCTGGTGAAGAGAGCAATGATATCACGCCACAACAAGGTCGTTCAATTCCCGGGCTGGGTAACCAGTACGTTCAGGAGTGGGAAATGAGTGGAGACTGCTGAGTGCTCCATGTTCCGCCCGGGCGTCGTAGCCATCGTTGCTTAACTTTTGGAGATCTGAAACCTTTTATCCAGAGATATATAACGTTGAACCACGAACGTACTTAGCCATGTCCTCAACATACGCGGTTCGACGACCAATAGAATCTTTGACCCCGCAATCCACCATTCGGGAAAGGAGGTCGAAAGATGGGCCTGCAATGTAACGTCGAGGGTAAACAGTCAATGGGCAGAAATTATCCACTGCCGTACTGTTCTTTAGGATCAATGGCCCGTCTAAGATCGTCAACAGCGAATGAGCTTCGTGGGCTTTGCCACCTGTCTATGGGTCGCATCGGACGACGGAAATCGGTGGCTCAAAAATGAAGCTGCGCATGATAAATATGAAGAGGACCCGCTCTAGGCGCCCATTCGCGGTTCGCCTAATTTACGGTAAGAAAGAGTTCGTATATTTCAATGGCTCACACCCCCGAGGCCGCACCACCACCCTTAATCCTCCTAACCATAACCGCGGTGAGCCAATGCACGAGGATTGTTGGCTTCTCCCGTCGAGTGACGTTCCAAATGAGGTTATTCCTGTTGTCTCTCGTCCTCCGTTTCCTTCCGTCTCTCCAGTAAGTGAGATTACCATGAAGAACTCCCATAAATTTTCTTTACGAGGTAGACCAAGCCATCCAGAGCCTGAGCCTGACGACCCCCAGCGTCGCCAGCCTCACCACAATCTATTGGAAACTGGCTCAGATCGAACCAGCTTTGGCATTGTTCTTTTAGCTGCTCTTCCTCACACCCCTCTTCGAGTCTTGGGAGTTGGACGATCGCAAGGTTTACAATGTCGTCGTTGTCTGGGTGAGCGTCCTTTAGTATTTCCCGTAGATCCACTAGGGTGATCTTGCGCCTAGCGACCGCCGAGGTATAAGAATTCTGGAAGTCGGCTTTGTACTCTCCCCCAAGATGGACGGATATTCCCGTTTTAGGTTTGGGTGAATCCCTAAGGGTAGAGTCTCGAATCAATCTTTCCAACGAACCACTTTCTGCTTGAGTCTTCCGGTAAAGCGTTTCAATAGCCGTCTCTAGGCGAGACCCATCCTCAATGACATTGGAATTTCCACCAAAGTCGGTAAAAGTCCGAGGGTAGTTGGCGTCGGGACCGGTATAGGCACACACGAGGAAGCGCTGCTTCATGGGAGATATCTGTGGATCTGTGGTATAGTTCGTCGTTCTTTGCAGGAAATCTTCGATCGTATACACGATTCCCGCTGGTACGTCCAAATGAGACGGTATATCTGTTTCCACCGTGAGGCTAACATGTGCGGCCGCCGTCTGATCGCCGTTCCAGGTATGAGGGATTTTGGAATTATTCGGCACTACCACTCGATGCTGCGCCGAAAATCCAACGGATTCGCCCTCCATACTGAGAACATTTTGTCCTCGACAAACCTCCCTAAACCCAGCCGGGACATTGTGTGTATTTTCTGGAAGAATAAACGAGTATTGAGCCCTTAGATCGTCGGTAACTGAGATGAACACTTCTAACAGACGAAAACAGTCATCCGGACTCAACATCGAGGCATCCACGAAGTGCACGCCATAGGCGTTGGGCAGACTAACCGTGACCCCAGACTTCCTCAGGATTTGAGAACAGTTAACTTTAGTCATATTTTTGTTTGGGAATTGAGAGAAGTGGCGAAAGCGGCTTTTGTCTTGTTACTCACTTTTACTCTGTAAACTCGCTGCGCTTTATAGGTGCAGACAGATTGCGGAATCAGAAAACTATCGCCCCCACAGGACTATCCTACCCTGCATACAGAACTACCCTGCATACAGAACTACCCTGCATACAGAACTACCCTGCATACAGAACTACCCTGCATACAGAACTACCCTGCA